TTCATTGAGAACTACAAGCCAACTGCCACAAAGTTGTCACAACAGGATATCAGGGGGGTGCGGGGGATGGTCCTGCAGTAACATGTTACATGTTACACCCTGAATATGGGTGTAACATTTTACGAAAGGTGTACTTGTCCTTTAAAAAAAAGCAGAGATTAATACCTGGAAACTACTGACTAGTCAGCCTAACATCGATAGTATGTAAGCTATTGGAAGGGACCGTATCCAAGAATTTGCTAATGAAAATAGTTTCATTAGTAGCAACCAACATGGATTTATGAAGAATTGTTCTTGCTAGACCAAATTTTTACCATTCCTTGAGGAGGTAAGCTGTAATTTGGATAAAGGAAGGTCTGTGGACGTAGTGTATCTGGATTTCGCTAAAGCATTTAATACAGTACCCCATAAACCCTTAATTTACTAATTAAGGTCTTTTGGCATTGATAAGGTTGTATATACCTGGATAGAAAACTAGTTACAGGGTCAGATTAATGGCATATTTTCTTAATGGTCTAGAGTTTTAAGCTGGGTCCCCTTGGGCTCAGTCCTGAGACCAATTCATTTTAACTTGTTCATAAATGATCTAGAGCTTGGAATAAATAGTTCAATCTCAGTTTTTTCTGATAATACAAAGCTAAGCAGGGAAATTACCTCACAACAGGATATAGCAACTTTACAAGAAGAGCTACTTAGAATAGAGGGATGGGCAGCTATATGGCAGGTGAGGCTTAATATTGAAAAATGTAAAGTAATGCACTTGGGAACTAAGAATATGCATGCAAGATACACACTAAGGGGATAACCTCTGAGGGATTTGAAGATGTAAAAGGATCTGTGGTTCCTGGTGGATCACAGACTCAACAATAACATGCAATGCTAAGCTGCAGAAAGCAAGACCAACAGACTATTATCAAGCATTAAAAATGATATTTACTCAAAAGATAAAACTATAGTTCTATCACTTTACAAAACTCTAGTAACTCAATAAATGACTACAAACATTTAACCTATTCTCCCTGGAGACAAGACATTTAAGAGGAGATATGCTTGCAATACTGAAATCATTGAATGGTGATTCCAGCATTGGAAAGAAATCACTTAAAGAGGAGCTCCACCCAAAAGGGGAAGTTCCACTTTAAGGACTGCTCCCCAGCTCCCCATTAAGGATTGGCACCTTTGGGGGGCGGGGGGGAGCGGGTACCCGAATTTGACAGGTACCCACTCCCACTTCCGGTCCGATTGCCTAGGCCAGTGGTGGGCAACCTTTTTTTTCAACTGAGCCAAATCTCACCAAAACCACGATTGAAATTTATTTTGAGAGCCACATTTTTAAAACTGAAAATACATCCCCCATATAGTAATTCATCCCCCATAGTAATTCATCCCCCATAGTAATTCATCCCCCATATAGTAATTCATCCCCCATAGTAATTAATCCCCCATATAGTAATTCATCCCCCATATAGTAATTCATCCCCCATAGTAATTCATCCCCCATATAGTAATTCATCCCCCATATAGTAATTCATCCCCCATATAGTAATTCATCCCCCATAGTAATTCATCCCCCATATAGTAATTCATCCCCCATATAGTAATTCATCCCCCATAGTAATTCATCCCCCCATATAGTAATTCATCCCCCATAGTAATTAATCCCCACATATAGTAATTCATCCCCCATAGTAATTCATCCCCCATATAGTAATTCATCCCCCATAGTAATTCATCCCCCATAGTAATTCATCCCCCATATAGTAATTCATCCCCCATAGTAATTCATCCCCCATATAGTAATTCATCCCCCATAGTAATTCATCCCCCATAGTAATTCATCCCCCATATAGTAATTCATCCCCCATATAGTAATACATCCCCCATATAGTAATTCATCCCCCATAGTAATTCATCCCCCATATAGTAATTCATCCCCCATAGTAATTCATCCCCCATAGTAATTCATCCCCCATATAGTAATTCATCCCCCATAGTAATTCACCCCCATATAGTAATTCATCCCCCATATAGTAATTCATCCCCCATAGTAATTCATCCCCCATATAGTAATTCATCCCCCATAGTAATTCATCCCCCCATATAGTAATTCATCCCCCATATAGTAATTCATCCCCCATAGTAATTCATCCCCCATATAGTAATTCATCCCCCATAGTAATTCATCCCCCATATAGTAATTCATCCCCCATAGTAATTCACCCCCCCTATAGTAATTCATCCCCCATAGTAATTCATCCCCCATAGTAATTCATCCCCCATATAGTAATTCATCCCCCCTATAGTAATTCATCCCCCATAGTAATTCATCCCCCATATAGTAATTCATCCCCCATAGTAATTCATCCCCCATAGTAATTCATCCCCCATATAGTAATTCATCCCCCATATAGTAATTCATCCCCCATATAGTAATTCATCCCCCATAGTAATTCATCCCCCATATAGTAATTCATCCCCCATAGTAATTCATCCCCCATAGTAATTCATCCCCCATATAGTAATTCATCCCCCCTATAGTAATTCATTCCCCATAGTAATTCATCCCCCCTATAGTAATTCATTCCCCATATTAATTCATCCCCCATATTAAGTCCCCAAGTCCCCCCTGTGTCAATTCACTTATCTTTGCTCCGCGCGTTCTTCTCGCTGTGTTCCCGCGCCGTTCTGGTCTTCAGGGCGGACTGTGAGAGGAGAGGAGTTCGTCACGCTGCCCCGCCTACATCCTGGCTGCCCCGCCTACATCCTGACAGCTGCAGAGTCCTGACTTTTGGGGCGGCCGCCCGAGAGGAGGGAGGTGGGCAGCCGCCCGAGAGGAGGGAGGGGAGCGGGCGCCCGGCACACAGAAGAGCCGCATTTAAGTTTGTAAAGAGCCGCATGTGGCTCGCGAGCCGCGGCTTGCCGACCACTGGCCTAGGCGACTGGAAGTGGAAGGTGTCCTCACTCCCTCCCTGTAGTCTATTGGGACACGTGACAGGTCCCAGAAGACTACAGGACCCTTCATGAAGTGCAGCGCTACTCGCGCATGCGCAGTTGGTACCCGGCTGTGAAGCCGCAAGCTGTCACAGCCGGGTGCCCACACTGAAGATGCTGGCCTCCTGGAATACAGGATGGCTGGTGAAACGGGTTGCGGGACACACACCCGGGACCGAGGGACAGGTAAGTGGCTGTTTTTTAAAAGTCAGCAGCTACTGTACTGTAGCTGCTGACTTTTATTTTTGACAGGGTGAGTGGAACTCCGCTTTAACTTCTCTAAGTCACAAGGTCTCTAAAACAGACACATAGACGTCATACAATGAAGTTAAACGAGAAGCAGTTCAATCTCAAACTGCATAAGGGTTTCTTTACTGTTAGAGCTGTAAGGATGTGGAACACCCTTCCACAGTTGGTGGTGTCAGAAGGGAGTGTTGATAAATTATAAAAACTTTTAGATTTGTTTCTTAGTGAATGCAATGTACAGGGATATGGAAAATGATAGTCACATAGACATTCAGGTTGGACTGATGTCTTTATTTCAGTCAGCAGGAATCAGTGGTGTCCAGCAGCAAGATGTTTGTGGTGAGCGACAGTATGTAAACGCCAGGACCTTAGCCAAGTGCTGAGGAGAGGAATGAGACACGTTGCACTGCAGAATTTTTACATGATTGTTCCTGTTTGTTTTTTTTACATAAGTGCATTAGCTTTTTCATAAAAAGCAGCGAGTTGTGTTTTATGGAATTACGCTATGTGTGTCTTTTTGTGATCTGGAAATTTGTTCTTGATCTGTGACTTAAAGTATTGGTTGGATACTTGGTGAAAACTGGCTACTGGTTAGATGAGTACCTCAACTAATATGGATGAGGAAAAACTTGTCAAATAGAGATGTCCAGGGCCACACTAATCCTGTCCATATCCTTGTTCTGCACATGCACAGCTAGTCAGCCCCATACATATCCTCTGCAGGAAATCCCTCCTTGTTACACTTGAAGATAACATTTAAAAAAAAAACTCCTCTTATTTATTTTTTGTTGGACCTGAAAATTCCCAGATGTTTTCTTTAAAAATGAGGCACAACAATTAGCAAAAGTCCTCACTCACGGACATCCCACAAAGCACTCTGGTCCTCATAACCCTATTTAGCTTTGTGTTGTTTTATAAATCCCGACTAACATAATTACGTGATAGATGCAGCAGTGCCCAAGTTGTTCTGTTGGGCTTTTTAATTTGTTTGCGTTCTACCAAAGTGAAACTTCACTCTCTCAATCAGCACTGACTATTTTTAATCCTTATGCTGCTAGCATTAGTAAATAGATAGGAAAGTATACCATATTTGTTTGTCTTAAACCTTTTTGTCACATTTTTTCAGTTACTTCCTGGCTTCCATGCCTAGGCAAATTATGTCATACCTCCCAGGAGTCTTCATGAGGGGAAGAGGGGTTTTCTCAGCTAAGCACGTTCTCCTGCATGTTTGAGCTAAGGGAAGATGGATTCCAAGAAGTAAATGCTGCATGAATCATTTGCCCTTACTCAAGATGGCCATGGCCAGAAATGCTGGGGCTTGGGGGGATCAAAGTGATTTATCAACAAAATAAAGCATGGAGGCATGGATGGATGTGGGAGTTGGCTTTGAATATTACAAATTAATTAAATAGCATATTTACCGTATTTTTCGCTCCATAAGATGCACCTAGGTTTTAGAGGCGAAAAACAAGAAAAAAAATATATTCTGAACCAGTGGACTGCAGACATAGTACAGGAAATGACCAGAGACTGCGGACACAGTACTGGAAATGACCAGAGACTGCGGACATAGTACAGGAGATGACCAGAGACTGCAGACATACTACAGGAGATAACCAGAGACTGCGGACATACTACAGGGAATGACCAGAGACTGTGGACATAGTACAGGGGATGACCAGAGACTGCGGACATAGTAAAGGAGATGACCAGAGACTGCAGACATAGTACATGAGATGACCAGAGACTGCGGACATAGTACAGGAGATGACCAGAGACTGCAGACATAGCACAGGAGATGACCAGAGACTGAGGACATAGTACAGGAGATGACCAGAGACTGCGGACATAGTACAGGGAATGACCAGAGACTGCGGACATAGTACAGGGAATGACCAGAGACTGCGGACATAGTACATGAGATGACCATAGACTGCGGACATACTACAGGAGATGACCAGAGACTGCGGACATAGTACAGGAGATGACCAGAAACTGCGGACATAGTACAGGAATGAACAGAGACTGCGGACATAGTACAGGAGATGACCATAGACTGCGGACATACTACAGGAGATGATTAGAGACTGCGGACATACTACAGAAGATGACCAGAGACTGCGGGACATACTACAGGAGATGACCAGAGACTGCAGATATAGTACAGGAGATGACCAGAGACTGCGGACAAAGTACAGGGAATGACCAGAGACTGTGGACATTGTACTATGTCCACAGTCTCTGGTCATTCCCTGTACTATGTCCACAGTCTCTGGTCATTCCCTGTACTTTGTCCGCAGTCTCTGGTCATCTCCTGTACTATATCTGCAGTCTCTGGCCATCTGTACTATGTCCACCAGTCTCTGGTCATTCCCTGTACTGATGGCCAGAGACTGCAGACAGTGCAGGGAATGACCAGAGACTGCAGACAGTAAAGGAGATGACCAGAGACTGTGGACCTTTGGGGAGGGAGGGGGAGCAGGTACCTGAATTTGACAGGTACCCGCTCCCACTTTCGCGGAGTTGTCCTTTGCTCTTCTTCCCGCGCCCGCTTTCTGTGACAGCCAGGTGCCCACTACACATGCACGAGAAGCGCTGCGCTTTGAGAATTGCCCGGTGCCTTCTGGGACCTGTCATGTGTCCCAGAAAACACCGGACCATTCACAAAGCGGAGCGCTTCTCGTGCATGCGCAGTGGGCACCTGGCTGTCACAGAAGCCAGCGCGGGAAGACTGTACAGTGCTGGAGCTGGGAACAGGTAAGGCCCTGCAGGAGAGAAGAGCTGAGCGGCCGGCCCGATATTCTGACATGGTGGAGGCAGAAATACCGGACCGGCCGCTTTATATTCGCTCCATAAGACGCACTGACATTTCCCCCCCCCTTTTTTGGGGGGAAAAAAGTGTGTCTTATGGAGCGAAAAATACGGTAGTTTGTGGTACTCAGGTGCAGTGCAGTTCCACATGAAGGAGGAAGATCATGAAGGATTTAGAACATGCCAGCAATTGATCCTTTCATTTACGTAACGTAATAATTCATCTTGCTATATCTATATGCTATAATTGTAATTAATATGTTTTTGTTTCTGTTGAGAGAGTCAGTGAATGAACAGCGCCATTTTATTTAATGTATTCATTCGCACTGTAGTGAGCATCAATCGTTAACCATTACTTCCGAATAAATCGTATTTGTTTTGGTTATTTTTTCTTTTCTGGAAAGAAAAAAAAAAAAGCATTGTCAAAAATAAAGCAATAACTTTCAGAAGTAACAGTATACAGACACATATCTGCACCATGCAATATTCACTTTTCAGAGCTGCATCAATTTAACCAGTAATACATTTTGATTGAACAGTATATTCTGATTTGGAATGTCCTTGGCAAAAAAGGCTTTTCATCATTTTATTGTTGTTAATACAATTACAAAAATATATTGTATGTATGTTTACTGTTAGATATTTTTAGAAAATAATGAGAAAACAGAGTACAGTTATTTATATATTGTGATCTAACTTTTGCAATATTTAAAAAAATCTATTTATATTTGATATATTAATATTTAATAACATGCTGTACGGGCAAGCAGATATACTGACAGGTCTGCAGGAGACCTGCATGGCTCCAGCGATTTGCTGATTGCTCGTGCAATGCTTTTCAGGATTCAGAAACAAAATATAATAAATGCTAATTTTTTACCTGCAAAAAAATGTGCATTTATTATTTTTTGTAAAAAGGTAAACTTATCCCCTAATTCATTCAGATCTTTGCAAGCCAATGGAAAAACTGACTCCAGGAAAGAACAGGTATTTTCTCACTTTTATAGATGATTGCTCCAGGTATACTACATTATAAAAAGTTACATGACAGAAGTGAAGGACCAGAAAACTTTGAACAATATTTGGTGCAAGTTAGCAACAAATCTGGCAAAATGACATGTGTATTGCACACAGCCAATGGAAGTGAATATATAGGTTATAATACGCAGGCAATTCCCAGAAAGCATGGCATAATATTTCAAACTACTATACCATACAATGCAAAACAAAACAGGGTTGCAGAAATCATGAACTGTACACTATGTGAGAGTGGATGAGCCATGCTGTTTGATGCAGATATACCAACCACATACTGAGGAGAGGCAATTATAACCGCATACTATCTCCAAAATCAACTGCTAGGAAAATTCATAAGAACTGTGGAATAGAAACGGTTCATAGATAAGGGTTATGATCCAGAGAAATTGGGGAAAATTAGGTATGATATTAGTAAAATATTATGTAAGCAGGGTAAGAAAGAAGTTAAAACCTAAGAAAAAGGATAATAAAGATTTGGATTTTGCATTTATCTTTGATTATAATTAACAGTATAAAGGATGCAGAACAGATTATTAAAAAGTATTGGCCCAGGTATTGGGCCCTTTGGTACCGAAATTTATTCATAGGAAGTCCTCCAGTTTCTGACACAAATTAGTTAAAAATGTAATTTCCCCTCTAGAGAATCTAGAGAAACTATGTTGGATTTAAAAGGCTTCTACGCTTGTAAAAAGCGCACTATTTGTAGGGCTACAGACATTAGGTTTCATGTCCAAGGTTACACGTAGGGACAGGGGCAGATTGACAACTCATGGGGCCCCCGGGCAATATAGGGGATCATGGGGCCCCTGTGTTCTTGCCCAAACTCAAAAAAGGCTATGAAAAAGGTACCGGGGGCATCTCATGGGCCCCCTACTGACCTCCGGGCCCTCGGGCAGTGCCCGAGTTTCCAAGTGGTCAGTCCGCCCCTGCGTAGGGAATATACCATCAAGAGCCTTATCTCATGCCAATCTACCTATGTCACCTAGCTATTGGAAGGCCAGACAATGAGGAAGTTGCATATTAGATTGTGGGAACATGTCACCAACATTAAGAAAGGTGTGCAAAACATAGTCTGTCCAAGCATTTCAAAGAGGTACATCATTGTAACCCCACACTTTCGAAATCTTGTGGTATAGACAGAATAGGGGATCATTGGAGAGGGAGTAACCGTATTAGAGAGGTTTCTAGGAATGAAACCTTTTGGATATGCAAGCTGGATAGTATACACACTATGGGGTTAAATGTAGAGCTGGATCTGAATTGTTTTATTTCAAACTCCTAAAGGTTGTTATCAGCAGTTGTAAGGTTTTTCATTATATATCAATATATACACATGTCTAATTTTCCATATTGGGAATTTTCTGATATTCACAGTAGCCATATATACATTTTATCTATTTCAGTTTATTATATCTAATATTTTTCAGAGATGTGATTTTATTTTATTTTTTATAAATGTTTATTTATATTGTATTTTTTTTTTTATATTTTTTATTACTGATTATAGTTTATATATGGCATTATATGAATAATCACTAGGGATGTTGGACCATGTATTAGTGCCAGGGCTTCTGGTGTTGTTGTCCCATGTTCTTTCAGTGGAGGGAGCCAGAAGGGGAACAATGATTATGTATGGGTGCATTAACCTGTTGTAATAGCACACTGAGAGTGGTATATATTAGTAATGCTGGTGCTGTCATCATTGTACTGTTTTATTGGGTATGATTTATAAGGGGATTCTAAGTAATTCTGGTATGGGGAGAAGGGTCCAATAAAGTAAAATGGCTGATGAGTTCTCCAGGAAGGGTGGTATCAAACCCTATATGAGTGGATAGTCTAGCCGCGTCTGATGTTCACGGCCTATGAAGAAGTCAATGTAATGACAAAACGTGTCAGAGCAAGTGATGTCAGACGCAAACCGGAAGTACCGTGGTGGCCATTTTAGAGAGGGTGTTCTATTACTAGAATCCATGTAAACATTCATTGAATAAAGTTAATTTTACTTATACTGCTGCACTTGGAATTCTGTTTTTAATCACACATGTCGGGAGCACAAGAGATAGAGAAGAGGTAATATTGGAGATCCAACAGACAGTTAAAAGAAGGCACATATCCAGTTTACAGAGGGTAAGGTGCATGGCCTGAAGGGGGATTGTGAAGCACTAGTGGTGGTGTAATTTTTTAAGGTGGATGGCACATACCTGTGAATACATGTGATGATTAGTGGAGAAGATACACATATAGATGTCACGCATGGAATTTGTAGAGAAGATTAAGAGTAAATATTATGAATGGTGATGGGTGATGATTACATCATAAATCTAGAGGATCATATAGCAACTTTGGAGCACATTATATTAATTGAGAAAGTGAGCACATTATATATTGGATTTATATAATTAGTTAAGGACATTCTACACTATATTTGGGGTTTTTTTTATTTGAGGAGCACAAGCAGAAGAGTAGATGGAAGAGAAGAGGAGGAAAGGAGGATTTATTTGTATACAACGCTTGATTATCAGATGAATCTGGTGCACGCATAAGGAGATTTGATCGCTTATACGGATCGTGGTACTAGTATTGCACTGGTTTAATATAGACTAATTGGCCTGCCCAGGGGGACAGTTAAATTTTCAGCCACAGAACTGGTTTGGACCTTTGGTGCTAAGGGACATTAGGGATATACATTGTGGAATAGAAAAGCCCCAAATTTGAACCATCTAAAATTTTTTGAAGCAAATCCTATGTGCACATACCAAAAGAAAAACATACAAAATAGGATGCTTACGCAAAGGAAGGAGTACTTGTGGGGTACATTGAATCTCAAATAGGATGCAGAATTCCACACCTAGACACAAACAAGGTACCTATCAGTAGAAATTTAGTTGTCAAAACTTTAGTGTATTCAATGTTTCATGAACTAACACAAGCACTTCAATCTGAGGGAAATTCCACATCAGTGTCACATAAAGATAAGCAACAAAGTGACACAGAAATAGAAATTATCTCAGAAAATGCAAGTATTGTAAAAGAAGAAACCAACCCACAAGTGACTTTAATCAGGAAATCCAGCAGAAGCAATAAAGGTATCCCAGCCAAACTTGTGTCCTATGTTGCTTGCGTAGCATTAGAACTAGAGCCAGATTCATGGGTTGAGATGCAAAGACTTCCAACCCAAGAGAAACAGATTAATAGAACTGAGATCCAAAATGGGACTAATATAAGGAGTAGTTGTTGAGTGGGGGTGTTGGAATACATTGTTCATGTAATTCTTGTGCAACAACTACCTATTCGGTAGAAATATATTCAGTTTGAATCACTGTTGCCATGCAAGATACCCCAGCACTGACTGGGGCACCCGTTGTAAAGGGAGTGTAAACCTGACAGCAACAGTGTATATATTAAAAACAAAAAATACAAGACCTTATAATAAATCACTGAGGAAGGAATAGTGTACATGTTTTCTAATATAATTTACAGACATGTTTAGATTTTTTTATATTCATTTTTACAACATTGACACTTTTTTGCAGTAATTTGCAATGTTACAGGAAAAAAGTGGCCATTTATAACATCATGCTTCTGTATTATTGGACCTTAGCAGGGAGTATAACTATCACACTCTCCATAATAAAAATGAAATGACAGTTTA